GCTGCCCGCCTCACGGCACCCATCCGAGCCTGAAAAAAAGTGTTTTTCACCGAAAAAATAGGTGGCTCTGCCTCGGCTGGGAGAAGGGCTGAGGGGGAGCGCGGGGGTGAGGCGACGGGGGGACGGGAGCCTGTTAAAGGTTTCGGGCAGGGACGGGTCGTGGGGGCCTCCCCGGGCGAAAAATACCTTAACTTCGCTTTTTAAACTGTAGATGTCTCGTAGCGCTTTAGAATCCGGTATCATGGATGGAGACACGGAGCATGACAAAGGTAATGGGGTGGTTTAAAAGAAAAATAATGCCGCACGACTCATAATTTTGATTTAAATCACGGTTGAGAATAATCTAAAGGGTTTTGTTTGTTTCTTTCTTTTCTCTCCCCTGTCTCAAGTTGAAGCTGTCGTGTGCTCCCACGTTGAAGATGCTGTAACGTTTTGGGCACAGGTGAATTCAGAGAGCTATTTTATTTTACCTGAGGTCTTAAATCTTATCTCCCCCTCCCCCAGCAAGTTTCTGTAGGATTGAGAATAACTGATAGCAGTTGATTTTGAGGGGGGAAGCTTCTGTAGAATTGAGAATAACTGATAGCATTTGATGTTGGGGGGGGGGGAAGCTTCTGTAGAATTGAGAATAATTGATAGTATTTGATGTTGGGGGGAAAAAAAAAGTTAATTTAGATTTCAGAACCACAAGTATTATCGCTTCTTTTTAAGCTGAAATCAGCTATTCTTTCTGAAATGAGAAAGAGAATTGTTCATCATCGTTTGTATTGTAGCTGGGTTTTCTTGAATATTTGGTAGGCCAAAAAAATAAATCAGTCGAGGGTTAAAATACTGTTGGCTGCAGAGTGGTGTAGGAGGCAGCTGGAGCTCTGCTGGGGGTGAATCCCCTGCTCTCTCACAGCTGAGTGTTCGGGCAGTTTCAAGGAAGCCTGATGTGGAGATGGTTCAGAGACACCAGATCCTTTCAAGTTTTGTGTTGATGGGTGGGAGGAGTGAGGAAAAGTTAAAACAAACAAACAAAAAAATACAAACAAAAAAACACCAACAAAAAACCACAAACCCAAACTGGTGAGGCTAATTGGTGTGTGCATGAGTCAATTTCTGTGTAGCTTTGAGCCAGTTGGAGGAGGTTAATGCTTCTTTGTCATGTCCACACTAGGACTTTGGGGAGGGGGACCAAACTTTGCTCGTTCTCTTTATGGAATATCTTATCCTAATAAAGGGATTTTTAGGTGTAATAGTCATAGGTAATTCTCCTTTAGGTTCTTATCCTGGCATTCTGAGACTCAGTCACAGTGTTTTATTTAATGTTCTAAGGTACAAAAGTTAGGACTGTACTTCTAAGGTTAGCAAAATGTTTAGTTGCACTAGTGTTTTCTTTCCTGCTCTGAATCATTTCCTTTGAATTATGAGTAGAATATTGTCTAATAAATGCCGTGTTACTGGAATTGACCCAGTCTTACAGTGGTTCAGATACCAGGTTGTAACTGGAAAGACTCTGCTTCTCTCATCTGAACCAAACCCTGAGTTTTGCATGGGAAGAGAACGAGGGATCTGTCAGAGCTGCTGTTGCCTTCTATTAAGGAGAGAAAGAAAAAAGAACACTAAATATGTAATAATATTTGTGAGGAAGGATTAGTAAGATCTGCATACTGCTCATAGAAGCTGGTAATTAAACTGTTAAAAATGTTCGCTTCAAACTATTTCTCTGGGGTACATTGCCTGCTGCTGATCTGTGTCACTAATTTTTGGAAGAAAATGAGAGCAGGCTTACAAGTGCGACTAAAATCATGAAGATTGAAAGCTTAAGGTGGGGCATTACTGTCTCAACAGCAGTGCAACTGTTTTGATTTAATTTTTGGCTGTTATAATCTGTCAAGCATCTATTAAAAGTGACAGTTAATAACTTGTACCCTCTCTTCACACTTCTTAGGATGTCAGTAAATGTAATGACCTCTTGAAATTAAGTTGTGATCTGGCAGAAGCTTGTCCTCAGGCTAATGCAGTTTTTGGCAAACCTGATTTTAGCAAGGTAAGTAGGTTGCGTATATGTGGAGTTTGTTTTTCACCTGGATGTAACAGCCTTAGTTATATGGAACCATTTTCTTAGGTGTTTTCTTGATCTTTCATTATTATTCTCTTAAGATTCTCTTAAGGTTATACTCTCTTAAGATCTCTCTAAGAAGCACTAACTTTCCTAAAGAAAATGCTTATTTTGTGTGAGCAAGTTTAAATCTTTCTGCACTTCAGACTTCAGTTAAATTATGCAACATTAGGGTTTTTTTGGGAAATACAACAAGAAGGTAATATACATGACACTGAATTCTCTTCTGGTATACGTGTTATATACGTTACAGGTTATCTTTAACAATAGAGGAATGCTTTTTCAGAGAACTGATTCTTTGCTCCATGTCAAAAAATGCAGAAGATTTTACAAAAAACTGTAATGTTAAATGCTCTGGACAAAATAGTTTTGGACATATTTAATAGCAGTTCTGTGACAGGCATACAAAGAGCGATGGCAACTTTTGTTTTTGTGTGTTAACTACTGAGGGATTATTGTAGTGTAAGGGGTAAATAAAACGATTTGTGTCCAGGTAAATGACCCACATTCCTCCTGAACGGCAAGAAAACACAACAGTCAGTGCAGCATGTTTGTGGTGTGACTGGTTCCTTTGTTGGGCTTACTAAGCCCTCAGTGTCAATAAAATGTTGTAGCAACACATTAACAGAAAAGACAGGAGAGTCTGCTGTGTAAAAATGCTGGTGTTTTTCTTCTTGGAGTAGAGGATTATGTTTTTGAAGCATTAGCATAGATTGTTATGAGAGATAGGCTATCAAAAACATTACTCTGTTTTCATGCTGCTGTTGGGATAATTATAGGAGAGTGTGAAAATAAGACTTGCAATGATTGCATATAACATTTTGAGAGATGCTTATATTTTCAGAATGTTGTTCTTGATTTTTTTTTTTCTAATTTCCAGATTTATGGTGGGTGTTTTTCTGAAGATGGATGTTGGTACAGATGTATGGTAGAGCAAGTGATCAACAATGAAAAGGCAGGAACCATTTTTTTTAAAAGTCTTAAATCGTGTATCAGTTCTCCATGCAGGAGGACAGGAATAAATGCAACTCCTTCTCTTTCTGAAACTTGCTGTGTGATTGCATTTAAAAGCAGTCAATAGACACATAGGACATAAATTCAGGTGACCGGTAATTTTGAAAAATGCTGAGGGAAAGACTCTCAAAACATGACATACTTGGGAAGCGCTGTCTGTACCTCTTGATAAAGAGATTCACACGTGGTAGTTAATATTGTTAAACAATGTAATTTAATTTCAAAACTTTTAAGTGGAGGAAACGGCAGCCTTGTGTGAAATGTTAGCACTAATGCAAATGACCTGAAAGAGTTGTTAATCGTCATCAGGTGACTGATACAGGAGGCTAGTAGTTCCTGTTTCAAATGATAATTTCTAGACAGGCTGGTTGGCATGGAAACATTAGGTTGCATATCTGTCCACTGAGGAAAGTCTTATTGCTTTTTAATTGTAACCCTTAAAGGAAAAAAAAAAAGCCAGCAAAGATCTGTTTTGTTACTTAAAGTTTTGCCACTAAGCTTTCAGACGGGTGCCAACATAAGAGATTTCTCTAACTCTATTCCTTACTCTGAAGGGTGTCTAGGCTTAGTATGGGAGATTCTGATGTCTGCAACATGCATGTGTGTTAAAATGCTTATATTCTGGTAGTTGCCAGCTGTATTCCATATTTCTGTAGGAAGTTGGTGTAACCTCTGCTGATTTATGTTATTGTTGCAGTGCCAGGTATTGTACATTGACTATGGGAATTCTGAGGTTCTGAATAGATCAGACATAGTTGAAATTCCACCAAACTTGCAATGTCCAGGTGTTGCCAAGAAGTACAGACTCTGGGGACTGCAGATACCAACTGGTCAGAGCTTAAACATGTTTGACGAGGTGAGTAACCGATCTTGAAGCGCTTAGATGATGATATCTGTAACAGATGCTGCCAAATGATGCTGCAGAGTGTTACCAGGAGGAGTCTTCTAAGAACTGGATGTTTAGCTGTGAAGGCAGGGCACGCTGGGAAGGACTGTTTGATCTGTTGGCCTGAAATGGAAACTTTAGAAACTCAAATGGTTTTGCCAAAAATGGTTCAGATTGTGCTTAGAGTACGCTTTTGCCATCTTCAGGGCCCCAGGTCTATTTCTGACTGACCAAGTTCCTTCTGGCGCCGAGGAAACAAAGTACCTCTGTTTCATTCCCTTCAGAGGGAAAAATACCTCCCTTAGCCACAGAACTTATGATAAATTCACTTCTCTCTGTGAGCTCCTTGAGTGCTGTGTGCCTGGGTACTGCACAAACTTCTGGTCAAGCGAGAGAATAGCAGGTGAATGTCAGTGGTAGTAGGAGCCCTGTCATCCCTGGCCAGCAATGAATTTGAAAAGCTTGGGAGCTGATGCCAACAGGGCTGATGAAAAGCTTTGAGCCCTCTTGAGCTTCACCAGCCGGTGGCTTGGGAGCAGCAGCTGCTCTCCTGCTTGCCTTACATCCCCCTATCACTTAGGGGAGATCTGGAGACCCCTTGTCTATGGTCTTGTCCCTGTAGTCCTATTGGTATTGCTTACTGTGATTTCTTAAGACAAGTGAAAATCTCTCATTTCCCTGGGGTTTTGTTTGTGTGTGTGTGTTTGCTTTTCAAAAACAGTGTTTGTTGCTTGAGATAAAAGTTTATCTGCTTGCTCTGTGTAGCTTTTCCGCCCCCACCCCTTCCATTCTGAATTTTCAGGAAAACCAGCTTGTTTTCAGAAGTGGTGGGGCAAAGAAAAACAACCAAAACCCCTGTTAATAAAAGATAACTTTTTCCCAGATGTCTTGGGAAGGTCTTGAGTGCATACCCCAGTCTTCCAAAGCTGTTTTTCTTTGATGTTACTGATGAAACTGATAGCTGCCAATTCTGGCATTTCCCAATTTCTAAATGAGTAGTTTCAGTAAGGTGGATTTCCATAAGGTAGATACATGTCATAATTAATTTGTTGCTATGTTCTGTTTCAGCTTCTGGACCACTTACTGAAACGCTGTTAAACAATGTAATAATTCAAGTATTTTTTCATACTGTTAAATAGCTGGTCTAGTATCCTCTGAAAGACTTGGATAACCCAGTTGCCAACTTCTATTGAGAGTTGATAGGACTTTGGACTTCTGTCACTTATAAATGATACTGAATTCTGCAAAACTGAACATTGAGGGAGAACTATTGGTGTTGAAGTCCAGACTGGCATTGACAGTGATTAGATCAAATGCAGTTGTAGTTGTACAGATGCAGCATTTTGTCAGAATAAATGTGTTAAACTTAAGCTTTTCCTATGCAGCTCTTTGTGTTTTGGTCTTAAGCATGTCCTCTTTTTCTTAGAAGAAAGATGGCTGATTTCAGTTGACAGTATTTAGAGTGTCCAGTATACAACTTCAGTGTATGTTTATTTTACAGGGGAAGAAGTTCTTGAGCAGACTCATTTTTGAAAAAGAAATAAAAATACGTCACAAAGACAAGCATGAAGATGGGACCATTATTGCCCAGGCAGAATATGAAAATATAGATATTGGAAAAGAGGTGGTCAAGGCAGGGTTTGCTGAAGAATGCACGTCTTCAGGAAACACTAAAGATGTGGAGGAAAGAAAAGTAGATGTCATGCAAAACCAACATAGGAAGACAAAAGTTCCAGCTCGGCCGTGTGTAAGGAGATCACGTTCTGATCATGCACTGGACAGCATCCCAAGAAGGCGCCGTGACCCAGTAGCTGCCAGCACAAGGAATCAGCATTTTTCTGGAAACCGTGTGTTTGCCCCAAAGTAAGGCAGTGGGATGTTATAGAAAACTTTGTATGTAACGTATGATCTGATTAACTTAGTTTCTGGGATGTGGGTGTATGAGAAGATGGAGGGGGAGATGAGTATCTAAAATACAAAGTTCAGTTTCTGTCTTTCCAGCATCAAATACTCAAGGGTACTCAAGGGAAGGGAGGTATGTGTGAGTCAGTGTGTGTGCATGTTTGTGCATGCTGTGGTGAGGGGAATTAGGACATTAATCTCATAAAAAAAAACCCTGTTCATTAGTGTTGTTGCTGGTCAGATACCTTGTTCTTCCTCATTTGATTTCCAGAGACAGACTGGTCTTGTAGATCTTAATGCAAGATTTTGAAAAAGAAGAAAGAGGCAACAGCCAGTAGGCAGAGAAGATTCCATAAAGCTTAGCTGAAAGGACAGGTTGCAGGACATCAGGCCTGTAGCAGATTTTGCAGTGATAGGCGATGCAGTAATGTTTGGCTTAGTATCCGTGTAATTTCCATCGGCTTGTCCTTAAAAGTTTTTGTAGCTATTCCCCCTACTTACTTCTATTAAAAATTCACTGGGCAAATGTAGAATGGAAAGGTATCCTTATGTAGCAGTTCAAACATATTTTGGTGATTTATTTGTCTAGGAATGTAACAATGTGTGCTTATAAGAAATAAAGCCAGCAATTACAGTTTTAGTGGGAGAGCTTTAGGGGATAATGGTGTTTCTGCAACTTGTAATTACATTGACAAGAGGTGTAGTGGTAAGTTGGAATTTGCAGTTGTTGTCAGAAATCTTTTTTAAAGATGCTTTTCCTACAGTTGCTAGGATTGCCATGGCAACAGGCTGCTGAGAAAAATGTTTGTGGGTGGGAAAGATGGTAGTTGGCATTCAGAAAGTTGAGATGGTGTAAGGAAGAATGTTCTCCTAAAAAACTTGTTTAGAATTTGTTAATGTTCCATAATTTGAGCTTCTAGAACATTTTAATGAATCACCTGAGGGCATGGCCTTCCACATACTGGCACGATATCCAAATCTGTTTTATAATTAGGTCATTTAGGCAAGTCTATGCTGTTAACAAATACTAATACGGAATGAAGTGCTCTTCAAAAAAAGTTTAGATTTATAGTGAAGCACCTCATCCTATTCAGGATGAATATCATCAGTATTTTGATATTCTGATCTGCCCTGTTTTTTGAGTTGGAGATATGCTCTAAATCTGCTTATAAAAAAGAAATAGTGCTGCTTTTGTTTGGGTTTTTTTTTTTGGTGGTGTGCAGTGTTGTGATCCTTTTGTGTATAAAGCTATCCTGACTTGCCTGAGCAGCTGGCAGATCCTCTGTTTCATTTCAGTGTGCTCTGGTGTCCTTCAGTTTTTTGCACACTGCAGGCATTTTTGGGTTGGTATGTCTGAGAAGGAAATAGATTACATTCTAGCTTCTTTCTTCCTCAAAGCCTTGCAGGTGAGGCTGAAGCTGATGTGAGGTCTAGTGGAGCTTCACTGTGACAGCACGGCACAGCATCGCTCTCAGACAGATGGCTTCACATCACTCTTCTTCGTTATAGAAATAACATGTAGGGTATAATTCCAAAACAATAACCTTGAAGTGCTTTGGCTTATTTAGTAGATACAAGCTTTGAATTACAATGGACTTTGACTTTTCTGGGTCGGCGGTGTGGTATTGTAAGATCTTTTTTGGACAGGAAAGAGTTTGGAGTCAGTGACAGCGTAAACATATAAAGGGTTTTCTTCAAATGTTGTATTTTTTTTTTCCTCTGTGTTGTTAACGATCTTTGTAAAGAGTGGTGTCAGAAGGATACAAATTCTGAAGAAGTAAAGCATGATTCTGTAGGTGCTTCTACAGTCTTTTTGATGTGGCGTTCTGTCGTCATTACCGAAATTACAATAATGTGAAAGAATGCACTTTGTGTAGTGTTGGGTTTTTCTTTGTTTTTTAATTAATTCCTCTTTATTCATTTTTAAAAGGGGAGAAATGCTAGATTCTGCCTCAGTGCCAGACACCAGGTTAGCACAGAAACTGTTTGAAGACAAAGAAGTTCTCAGAAGTGAGGATAAGTATCTCTTGCAGAGGCAGAAGGAACTGGAACTGAAGGTTCAAGAGCTGGAATGTGAACTTGAGGTATGTGGAAATGCCCAGAGGATGCTTCTCTCCTCCTTGCAAGTATTTCTGACGATGTTTCTGTTGTAGTGCAGTTCAGCTGTGCACTGCTGCTGGGAATACAGAAGGATTGAGCTGGTCGAGTGAAGACTTGTCTTGCCCTGATGCAGGGAGATGCTGTCAGCGTGTGGCAGCACATGTTTTACAGTCCAGGTTGGACCCTTGCTCCCCTTGGTGGTGTGTGTATTGGCTTACCCCTCCTTTTGATGATGCAACTGCTGGTTTGGATGTAGGCGTTCAGTCTGAATGTTGCACTTTGTGATTAAAACTATGCTTTGTGTGTAAGGATGTAATCCTTGCCTGTTTTTTTTTAGCTCACCTAAAGGGGAAAAACAGCTTTCTGTGTGTGGGGCTGAAAATTCTGAAGCATCACAGAATCACAGCAGCTGTGGAATTTTAGAACTGGATAACAATTATTATATCCTTAATTGCTGCTTAATAGAAAAGATGCTTATTTCTTCCCAGGGGAAGTTCCTAGCACTGTCTGAGAAGCACAGTACTTAGTTACTGATAGGCTTAAAAATGCTGGGAATGGTTTTAAGTGTGATCAACAGCAGTGGTAGGAAGAGATTGTGTGAAAAGATGTTTGCATGAATTCAGAAAAATGTTGTGCAAAGCCCTATCTCTACAGATACAAAAGGAAAAGCTGCTGTTGTGTAAGTCCCTTTGACACCCTGAAACCTGAACTTGTGCACAGCTGTTTCTTTTCTCTTTCTTGTGGAATACTACTACTTATAACCAGCTTTGCTGCTCCGTTACCTCTACCTGGAACACCTGTGTTTCTACATACACTAGCCTGTCATTGCACACATTCTCCTAGCAACTGAAGATAAAAATGTGCATTTCTATGCAAACTTAAATTACAAGCAACAGAATACAAGGCTGCAACTAAGAAAAAATACTTGAATGCAAGGAATTCTTAGAAGCATTTCTTATCTATAGTCTGGTTAAAAAAAAAACAAACCGTTTCCTACAAATTTTAATTACTTTTTTGTTGAATGCAAGTAAACTGCTTTAAAAGAAAAGGTTGAGGATATTCTGTTAAGTGAGAAAATAGTTTGCTCCCTGCTAAAACACTGTGGTAGGCAGTGTTTTCTTTTAGAATGGTGATGTGTGGTGATGGCTTTGAGGGGTACTTAAAAAAACCACCCTGCATTCATGCATCTCATGCTCATCTGCAAATACAAAACTATTTAAACCCTTCTATGTTTGTTTTTTGTTTTTTTTGTTTCTAAAATAGAACATGTAGCAAGGCTCGAAGGCTAACAACTTTTAAAGACTGTGTTTCATTACTTAAAGTGGAATTTATAAAAGTATCTATGTGGTATGAGAGCAAGAGCTTTTAAATTTAAGTTGCCCCTCAAGGAATGTAGACTGTGGTGTATGGGCTTGTTTTGCGTTAAGAACATTTCTTATTTTGTCTTGAGAATATTCCTTGTAGGAAAGTCAGGATGGCTGTGTGTACAGCAAGGGTTCTTGTTTTGCTGCACCACTTTGAGTTGTGGTAATGATACAAGAAAGGAGTTTAATGAGGTCTTGGACTTGGATTTCCCTGGATTTTTCAGCAAGGAAAGAAAAAAGTTCAATGTTGTCTGAAGGCTTGCTAGCAAATGGGGAGTAATTGAAGAAATACAATTAAACACATCGCTGCTGAAATGAGAGGAAGGAAATGAACCGTTAACCTTTAAGAAGCTATTAAAGAAAATAATTTTGTTGTCATTGGTTTGTATGTCTTTCTAGGTATTTTGTTAAGTGTTTTGAGAGGGCCAGTTCTGTGTATGTATGTGTGTGTTTATGTCTAGTTTTCAAAAGTCTAAATTATGGTCTGTATCTTAGTAATCTTAGTAACCTTGTCTGTCTGTTGTGAATATTGATCTATCTTTGCCTCTTCTTGTTGAAACGCTGCTCCAAAAATGATAAATAATTCAGAGAGAGAAGGAAGCATCCAGGAAGACTGCTGCAAAGTTTGAGGAAACCCTGGATACTTACATTGGAACAAAAATGAGAAGTTTGGCTGCTAAGGTGAAGGCATTGAAAGAAGTTAGGTATGTACTTTTTTTTTTTCTAAAATAGTACTGTTCATCATTGTGCTGTTTGTCTCTTGAAGTCATGTGTGCTTTTTTGTTTCCCCAAAGTTTTATTTTGTTAATTTTCTAAGAGAAATGTAGTGTTTATACAGAGGCGAGTATATACGTATACCAAAGGCAAGGCTAAAACCTGAGCTTTTTAGAAACTCACATTGTAATTTGTGTTGCCTGCTTCTCAGTGTTTATCAGATGACTTGAATTCACTTCTGCTCCTTTAGCACAGCTGTTGCAAGAAGAGCTTTCAATTCCACCTGCAAGGAAGGTGCTAATTGGTAAATGCAGCTAGTTGTTAAAAGTAACTGGGTAGTTGGATGTCTTTGGGTGTCTGTGTTGCTGTGAGAGGTGTACCTCTTTTTAGGTCAAATTACCCTTCTAGTTTTAAAAGGAAGGCTAAAACTTCAGTGGGAAGAAGACTTGAAATAGAAATGACCAACAGCTCCTCCAAGAAGGAAAATATATATATTGGGGTGTGTGCGTGTTTGTGGAAGATGAGTAAAAAAAAAATGCCAACAGAGGAAATAGAACAAAAGGGAAATAAAAAGCAGGAGAGAATTTCCATGTGCAGCCTTGTCAATACAGAGGTATAATGAATGTGTTCTTGGTCCTTCTTCAAAAAAAGATTTAGCAGCTGAATTAGACAAATTGCTGCTGCTACCTTTTGAAAGAAACTAGGTCATTCACATGGCAGGCGCTATCTCAAAATTCATATGTTCCAAGGAGTCTGAATAATACTGATGTTTAAACTGCTTAAGTTCTGGGAAAAAATAATCCTGATAAAATGATGTTTCCTCCTTACAATTTAGGCACACAAATAAGAACAGTCGTTTTAGGGAGCAGCTCTCGGAATCCATACAAGTAGTTACAGAGGGACGTCTCACTGTTCCGTGTTCCTTGGAAAAATTGCAGAAGATTTGGACAGAGTATGACTTGGCTCAAGAGAGGATTCGGTTATGCAGAAATGTGGTAGGTTGGAATTAATTTTTTTCTCAAGAGCTATAATTTAACAGTAACTGACCAGTGTATTTTAGTCTTACAAGTGTAGCTAACTAGCATGAGCATAGCACGGATTTAAAGAAAGTCTGTTCTTTACTAGATAATGTTGGAGGCTTTGCTACCTTTGCCACAACTGATGCATTTGTGGAGTGTCATTTTTTTTTTGCGTGTTAAAACCTAGACTTTTTGTCGCTCTTGTTTTTTTTTTTTTTTTTTTTAAAGAAATATAAGGAAATCAGAACATGACAGCTAAAAGGTTTCTGTTCTGTAACAGTGAGAAACCACTTCAGCTGTGCAGGTGCAGTGCCTGTCTTTAAAACCTTTTGTTACAGCAACAGCCACTACTTTGTACGGGAGAGCAGCGTGCAGGGATGGTTGTATAGGAAGATGATTTGTGTAGAGGAAAGCTGCCATCTAGTGCAACTTCTCTGCAACCACGCGTCTGAAAAACTGCCTGGGTACTTGGGCATGGTGGTGTTGATAAGGATGGTTATCTACTGCCTCCTGTGTGACAGTGCTGCTTTTGGGAATGGGAAGGTTCCCCAGTCTGTGGCCCACATTGTGGTAAGGCAGGGGAGGGATGGTAGTTGTGTCTGGGAAAATGACCTAAAACATTTAAAACGCGTTTGCTTAAGAAGTATTGCTGTATGACACTGAATTTAGGAGCTTGTGAAATGGACTAGAAAATAGTGAGCCATGAGGAGAACCCAAGTAAGCTCTGTTGTTGCTTGTGCAGGGGAAAGTGTTTAATGAAAGTATTAAAACATCTATGGTGTGGCATGCATTTGAGTGTTGTAAGTGAAAAGAAATAATTTTTAGTAAATAAAAGACAGTCAAATGTTTAAACTTCCCAACATTAAGACGAGCATTAATAAGGAGATGATGTTTTAGTGTTGCACCTTATATAGGGGAGCAGTGTGTAGAAGGATAGCTAGACTGTGAGGCACCCAGGAGCCAGGGCTGCTTGGGGTTTCACTTCCACAAGCTTTAGCTTTCCTTGAGTGAATTCCTAATCCCGCATGAAATAGTAGCAGTTGCAGTTTTCTGGAGATTACGTGGGATAGTTGAGCTCAGGCAGGTCTGTAAGCCTTCTTGAACAACAGCAGACAAAGTGTTCTCCGACTGCTGCAAAGCCATCTTAGAACTTGTTTCCCCTCTTGTCTTTGCTTTTGTCCCCCTTGGTTTTGCTTTAACTCTGTTGGGCTGGAGATAAAGGGAAAGAAACCCTTAATGGAATTAGGACAGGTGTGACTGGGGAGTCTTAAAGTGTTTATTCAATAGAGGAGGTGGTTGCTTTGGTGTCATTCAGGTGGCAGTGCATGTGGGTTATTGGTTTGTTTTTTTCTTTTTGAGTTGCCAACCCCAGAAAGCAGCATTCTTCAATAAGAAACATAACGTAAAGAGGTTTCATTCTTGAAGTGGTGGAGGGTGGGGTAAATAGAGGTTTTGCTATCTATTCCATATACTGCAAAATAGTGTTTTGAACCAAAGGGAGCCAAAACCTGGAACCAAAAGTAGAAATAGGGTCTAAAAATTGATTAGAACTTGTCTATGGAGGGGGATTCATTTTTTTTCCCACTCTTCCTTATGAGGTCATTAAATCAAACTAAAGCAAGAATGTTTTAATGAGGTGATTGTACTATACATATTCTGCTCTTATGGACTTATATAAGCTTTGCTATAATTACTGGAACGATGAGCCAGCTTGGTATTTGGTATGACCAAGTCTAGTGGTTGGTTGTGGAGTGGATGTTTTTTTGGGTTTTTTTGAGAGGTATAAATGGAGCAGACACAAAATAGACTTTCATAGTTTGAGAAGCCTTTAGCCTGTTCTAAAGAAGTTGAATTTTACTGTTTGTTGTTGTGATGAGTTTATGTCTTTGTAAAGCAGACTATTAAAATAGTGTCTGTGTACTTAATGCTGTCTGAAGTTATTGTAATTTAACAAGCATTATGTGAACCATGAACTGTCGAACGTATGCAGTTAAATGACAGATATTGGAAGGAGATTTGTCCTGTGGCTCCTGAGCTGTCTGTTGAGTTCCTGGATTGTCATTTGGTCATGTGTAGACTTAAATCTACTCTAGTTCTTGAACTAGTATTATCTAGAGTTTGGTTGCCTGGTTGAATCTTCTGCTACATTAAGTCTCGGTTGCTCTAGTTTTTGAAGGAATATTCTGCAGAAATCTTGTCTTAAAAAGGAATGAAGACCCTTGTCATAAAGAACACTTTCGGTGCAGTGCATTACAGTATTCTTTTACAAACTAGCTCCTGTCTTCTGCAGGAAAACCAGCAGGAAGTCCATAAGAATTATGCATGCTTTTGATCGCCAGTGATGCCCTTTTAGGCAGAAATGCACTTTTTAGAGCAGAAATGCCTATTAAATCTTTTTGTTATTTCATGTTTTTAAATGCTGAAGCAATACATTGTGTTCACCTATAGTAGAACTCAATCCACTGATTCTTATTGTCCAGCCCCCTGATGTCTGGCTGAATTACGTCTGTTCAATTGCTAATATAAGTTTTAAAGCAGTGCATGCTGCAGCTTGGAGTTTTATTTTCAGTTGGAGTTTGTCCATCTTTCTTTTCCAACCATTGGATTTCATTCTGTCCTTGCTTGTTACAGGCAAAGGTTTCTGGTCTGTCTTCTGTAGATGCTTACAAACTCCTGATTACGTAAACTTCTAAGTTTTCACTTGGTAAACAAAATGTAAAAATCTGAGAACCTGTGTTTGTGTATACATATTTATATTACAGATATATTTATATAATACTTCCAACTTGCTAGTAGGAAGTGTTCATTGGACTGTTCTTTGGCTCCATCTGAAACTAGCATTAGTGCCGTGGTTAACTCTTATGTTGTTTTCTGTTTCTTTATTAATTGCTTTTTTTTTTTTGGATAGAGGAGTGCTATAGCTATTTGAGTCATTTTTCTTCCTTCTACATGCATCTCCAAAAGTAAAAAAGTGAATAGCAAATCTTTACAGCAGCTCTGTAAATCTGTAGTTTGGTGTTCCATGTTCATCTACATTTTCATATTTCTATTGGCATGTTGGATTACATTGCTGTGAAAAGAATGTTGCAAACATGCTTCTGAGTGACTTGCTTCATCCATTTCAAAAGGCTTGGTTTTGGTGAGTCTGTTTGGTACCTTGTCTGATAGGAATGTGGGGTTCCTCTCCCGACTAATCCTGCCGGTCATTCAAGGGAAACTTTGTTTTTGTTTCTGGAAAATTATCTTTAGTTTAATCTCATTGCAGGTAATCAGCAGATAGTTCACTGGTCACCTGTCTTTCCTGTCAGAAGGCAAAGGCAAGGAAAAAATTCGTAAAGGGATTTTTTTTTTTTATTCTAGAGTAGCATTCTCCAGCAAATCTTTTACAGTCTGACGTTGCGGATGTAATTTGGCATGTATGAAAGTGTGGATAATCCAAATTCTGATTTCTGTACTACAATAAACTGCAGGACAGTGAGGACATTTTAAGTTTACGGTGGCAATTAATACTCCCACTGCTATCAACAGTCATGCAGAAACTGTTTCTTTAGTTGTCTGATAATGTAGTCATATTTTTATACTGTAAAAGATGCTGTATTTTTGCAAGGTGGTCATGTCATAGTAATAGAGGTTAAAAACAAAATTCTCTTTTTCTCTCATTCCTAGTCAGGTATGTATTGTACTATTCATACTTTGCAGGATTAATGCCTTTTTATATCACTTTCCACATATATGGTCGGGTGTGAGTTGCTGACTTGCTTTTTCTTCTGTATAGGATGGAATAGATGAATTGATTGCCAAGAGAGATGAGGTGCAGCAGAACTTGTATTCAGCTGCGGAAGAATTAATTTTGGAAGTGGATCAACTGCCCCTCTCTGAGCGCTCAAGAACCTTACAGGTGAGGAGGTTGCTTTTACCAGTATTGGTTCTGAAACACTGAGCGGAAAGTGTTTCTTAATGTTAAACAGTTTATAGTTGAAGACCTGGACAGCAGCAGGTGAAGCTTTAGATAGCACTTCTGAGTTAAGCTGTACGTCTGACACCTGTAGTTCCGTGTTACTTGTGATTCTGGTCTTTTAGATGTTTTGTTTCTCGATGCAAATTATCTAGATCCTGGATTCGAGCAGCAGCTTTTCTCTTATGGTACTGTGTTTGGCGACTGACAAGCCTTGATAAAGTACAGAATATTTAGCAGGAAGCAGGTGTTAATGAGAGAACCCACAATTAAAAAGTCAATGCAGTTATCCTGCAAACTGTAGTGGATTTTGTGGTTGTGTTAAGCAGTTTCCTATCCCTTTCTGTTAAGGTGGCTGTGTAGTTTGGACTAGTGTAGCAAAATGTGAAATGTTTAAAGATTTTTTTTTTTTTTAAGGTGATAGTTAAACACTACAGAAGCACATGTTTGTACCAGGAGTCTCTCTCTGTCCCAGCAAACCCAACAACAGAAAGTGGGAAAGTAGATGGGGAAACGGCCTCTGTAGAGACAGTAAGAACTTCTGAAGAATACGTTACCAACAGAAATACCAAGGTGGTGTTTCTGGCCTTTGCTACTACAAACAGTATCTTTTCTTCTTTTAAACTTCAGAAATACTAGTTGTTTTTATTTTGACTATGCAAGTGTGTGTGAAGAGGGGAAAAAAGTTGGCAATAGTTTGACAGCTTGTCTGTACAAATTTCAGAGATGTATTCATCCACATATGTATGAGATTGGGTTCTTGTGAAAAATCATCATGATTACAGGCTGCACATAAGTTTATATAAGACTGGAACAGCATTAATAAATTCAAGTGTTAAAATTTTCATGGAATTCCTCAATTTCTAGCTGAATTATTTTTCAATGCCATTCAAAAAAAGTTTTGATACACTTAGTTTTTGGTTTTAGTCTGATATGCAGATTGGTGGCTAATTAGAAAATATATTGGATTAGTAGCGTTTTGTGGCTTTCTATCACTGGAGGCCCTGTATGGATAGCGGCTCTTCAGACAGAGGAAAGTTGTGGTGTATAGTTGTGTGGGGCTTTTCTGTTCTGTGGTTCGGGTTTTTTTTGGTATATGTTTAAAGGTTGTGCTGTGCTAATCCACTAGGTGGTAGGCATTAAGCATCTTCTAGATGGTTGTACTGCAGTGAAGTTCTAATATATTTTTGAAAATATTTGAAGGGGTACTGGAATGCTGCTAGGTGTTAAGTGAATTTTGTGCTTTAGCTTAACTGTGTTGCTGGCCCTCTCTTGTATTAGGGGCTAGAAGACCAAAATAGCTTTCCCAAGTAGGAAAACAGAAACAGGTTTTTACCAAATAACAGTGAGGCCCTCGGTTGCAATTTTGTAGAGCTGAAGGATGTCATTCTGTGCTGTTCTAGAGAAACAAGTATTTTTCCAGTGTTTCTCAGAAGAACAGGAGCTTGGGAGCTAAGTGCCCCTCTCACTGAGGCTGTGTATTGCAAACCTCTGTTCAGCATCACACAACTCTTCTGACTTCTGTTTTATACCTTTCAGTGAGAACTGTTGCCCTGAGCTACAGACAAATTCAAGCAGCTTCACCCAGCCACAGCTGGGTCCAACTGGTCAGGACTGAAATAAACCTTTGGTGAGCTCCGTGCTTTCCAAGTGATCATGCTGCATTGGTTAAGAGGAAGGCCAAGAGCGTGGGCATACGTATAAATTACTCTTGAGGGTAGAAAGGCTTTGCAGAGGGATCTGCATGGATGGATGGGCTGAGGCCAATGGGATGAAGTTCAAGAAAGCCAAGTGCTGAGTCCTGCACTTGGGTCACAGCAACCCCATGCAGTGCTACAGGCTTGGGGCAGAGTGGCTGGAGCTGCCTGGTGGAAAAGGACCTGGGGGTGTTGGTCGACTGTGGGTTGAACATGAGCCAGCAGTGTGCCCAGGTGGCCAAGAAGGCCAACTGGCCTGTATCGGGAACAGTGTGGTGGGTAGGACTCGTGAGGTGACCATCCCCCCTATACTGGGCACTGGTGAGGCCCCACCTTGACTACTGTGTCCAGTTTTAAACCATCTGTTACACTAAATGACTGCTGTTCATTATAATAACTATTGTTATGAAATTAGTTTCACAATTTTATAAAATATTTTTGGTGGTTTTCTTTTTGTTTTGGGTTGTGTGTTTGGTGGTGGTGTTGTGTTTTTTGTTTTGGGGTTGGCTTTTGTTTTTGTGGTCACTGTATTAAGTTAGTTGTTACATGAGGAAATTCCTCATGCTTTTGGCTCCAATTTGAACTTTTGCTGTAGTGTGTCTGTAAAGCTGGGGCCTGGTTGTGGCACCATCACGTGTAGTTCTGCAGAACTAGTCAGGCTCATTCCCTCACCCGTGCGGTACCTGCCCTTGGGAAGGGCACTTTATTGCTGCCACATCCTGGCCTGTAGTGTCAGTGTCACACAGTCTGTTTTACTTCAAGTTACATTTGGCGGCTCAAATGACCTGTTTCAAGTGTCTGAAAGGCTCCTGACAAAGATGAAAACCGCTCTCAAGTGGAGGAGGTAGAGAGAGAGTTGTTTATGTGTTTTTCTGCATCTGCATGACTTCGGTGTTGTTTGGGAAGGTCTGTGATATTTAACTCAAATGTTCTGGGATCTGAGAGAAGAAAAAAAAGTGAAACGGCAGCCTTTCTCAGGGTTTCTTTAGTAATCTTGTCAGGAATTATGTGGATAAGTAAAATGATAGATTTTGAAAGCTGAAAGATGCTATTTATTAGAGAAGCACAGGTTTGTTCAGTCAAATCCTACTGTTTAGGGAGAATTTTCTCTTTCAAACTACAGCAAATTGCCTGTAAATACCAATGTAGCTCAAGTATTTTTCAGTGTGGGACTTCCCACCCAGGTGCAAGGAAGGATGTTGTCTCCACTGGTAATTGACTGATACATTCCTCCCTGGCTCTGCTTGTTCTTCGTGTCATTTGACAGACTGCCCTTTGTTTAAAAGTGGGTTTTGTTTGCTCTGAGCTTTAGCCTCATCCTTTCCTTTACCTGTAGCACTTCAGTTTGTTTTCCAATGCAAGTCAAAAGGAGGTGGACCCTGTGCTTCATGTACTTGCAGGATACTTGGCTTTTAGATGGAAATAGAAGTTTCTGGACTGTAAAACTCATTTCAGAGGGTCTTCAGCAATTACCTACATGTCTGACACCTGTTCCATCTAGAAATCAATGTGATGATAAAGGTGTGCCAGAAGAGATTTGCCTAGTGGCTTTTGAAGGGAGGGATCAGTCTGAAAGCATTCCTTGGGTGTCTGGCTGCTCACCTTGTTTCTTAGTAGAGGTTCACTTCGTTTTCTAAATTTGAGCAGTTCTATGAGGAACATTTATAAACGGAACCCCATTTTGCTCTTTATCCTGATGAGTATGACTTTGAAGTCCAATCCATAGGGAAGAAACTAGAATGCAAATGACTTCTTAAAAGCTGTTAAGGTTTTTGTAGTGTCTTTTCCTTCCGTGTTTTGAAGGCAAAAATCAGACTCTCTGATCTCTGTGAGAGATCCTTTTTTGCATTGCATTTTCTCGTAGACCTACTGCCACAGGTTCTGAGAGGGAAGTGGAATATGAAATACACTTCACTGGATACAGAAAGAGGCCCCTGTAGTAGAAAAAAAAAATATGCCAGCAGGTAGTGCTAACTCTTTGTATGTTATATGTCTTGATTTTTATAGATAGTATACAGTCACAAAATTCTTCTGGTTTGCAAACCTGTTTTTGTTTGATTTGCTTGATACACAGGAACTCTCTGCTTCTCTGGAGATGGTGTATGGTCAAGGTTCTGCAGCAGATGACTTGGAGGATGCATTTCAACAGTTCTTTGAGTGGAAGAGTGTTAAAATGAAGAAATTAATTTGTGTCAGACAGGATACGGACATAGCTCTGGAAATTCTTGCTGACTGGTTTAGCACCATCTTAAAGGTAAGGTGAACAAGTCAGTCTTCCCTATTGGTGAAAAAGATGAAGCATTACAGTGTCTCACCAAGGTTGTGAGGACTAGGCATTATTAGGGACAGCTACCTATGCCAGGGAGATTGTGCATATGAGCACTGGCACCAAATGACAATGCCTCAATACAGAGGGAAAGGTAATGCCTTGAGGAATGAAGTGTTAATTTACCTTTAATTGTAGTGTACTTTTGCGAGGAGACAGAGTTTATTCTTTCTTATGAAAGGACTTATTTTGTGGGAAGATCAGTACTGTACACAAGTGTAACTTTTGTATGGGGGCACTCTATCTGGTCATTGTGTGACTGAAATGCTTTAGTTAGTCCTTTCAAGTGGCCTTTGGGTAGAAAGATTTCAGATTTTGAAAGGTTCTAGTTCATGAATGCTGCTGAAAGGATGATGAAAGATCACTGCAAAGAAGCAGCCAGTCTGAATTGACGTGATCTAGGCACAGGTTGCACACAAATACATAATAAAATTTTTTCCTCCTTGAGATGTTGAGTGTGGAGAATTTGTGCAAATAAATTGTCCCCTGTATTTGCATGTCCTGCAGTATTTTCTGTAATACTATTCTGATACGATGTGTCTCCGAATTGTAGGAGGTTTTGAGCATTGAAGTTGAGTGCCTGTTATTTGTCATAAAAGGAGATTGATGGTGGAAGTGGATTACCATTCACTGAGTTCTGCTTGTAAAGAAAGCACAAAGTAGGGAGGAAACACTGTGCTTAATGTCTATGTTCTTACTCAGTTTAGGACTCTTATTAAATCTTCCTGGCAAGACTGTAAGCTGCTCTCCCTCCATTCCTGCAGGCCTTCCTTAATATCTTTCTTCTTGTACTGGTGTGTAAATGTTCTGAGTTTGTGTTAGCATAACCTTCCTGACCGTATGAATTGTACATAATCCACAGGGGTTGTGCCCTTTCATAGCCAGTAGGTTTCATCGTACCCAGAGCATTTACTGTGGCCAGACACACTTATGAGAAACAGTGTTCCTTGATTTGACAATAAATGCTGTTCGGCAGCAGTGTAGGCTTTGCGCATGTCATGTGTGGTGTAATGTTAATTAATATAATTACTTGCAGATGTTTATGATCATGTCAGTTATCAGAGGGGCAAACAAACCTGCAGGTGGTTTTCTGTGATTGCTGGGTGCAATTCAGAGTGCTATTCATGGATTCACGGATTTGACAGAGTTGGAAAGGACCTCTAGAGATCATCTAGTCCAACTCCCCTGCTAAAGCAGGGTTGCCCAGAGCACATCACTCAGGACTGCGTGAAGGCGCGTCTTGAAAATCTCCAGAGAAGGGGACTCCATGACCTCTCTCAGCAGCCTGTTCCAGTGCTCCGTCACCCTCACCAAAAAGTAGTATCTCTTTTTCTGCAGATAGGAGGAACCAAGCTTTGCTGAAAACAACATTCAGTGTAATAAGCTGATATTACTGTTTTTTGTTGTTGTTTTTTTTTTTTTTTTTGTTTTTTTTTTTTTTTTTGTTTTTTTTTTTTTTTTTGTTTTTTTTTTTTTTTTTGTTTTTTTTTTTTTTTTTGTTTTTTTTTTTTTTTTTGTTTTTTTTTTTTTTTTTCTCTGGCACCTTCTGCATCTTACATCTTGAAGCTAAGTTATTTCTGACTTCTACGAAAACACTTAGGGCTTCCTGGTGAAATCTTTGATCTTATTTCACACTTGATAAAGAAGCATCCTGGCATCTGTTTCACAGTTGATCTCAGGTAGTACTACATAGGAATGGGAAGCCCACTCAATAGCAAAACTGCAATACATTTGGTTATCACTGTGTGGGCAGCACACATGTTGATTTTTGATGTGAAACTCAATAGGAAAAGAATTGGGATTCTTTTCATTTTTGGTAAAAATCAAAATAAGATTAGGAAAATAAAACCTGATCAAAGCAAGAATCAATGTTTGTTTTGCCTGGTGAATCTTAACTCTTAGTTCTAGAAATCTCTGTATCACTCAAGAGGGGGGCAGTTAAAGGTGAGATCTGACATAAATCCTGATTAGATTTCCAGTAGTGCTATAACTCTTTGTATTTCTTGCTTGTTTTTGCTATGTGCTTGCTAAATTCTTGATTTCAATTCCAAGGTTGATTATTATTTTTCTTCTCTTTGAAGTGTTTTGACCTGATGTCAGAAGCATCTTCAGATTTAGAGGAAGTGGTTAGCAATGCAGATGAAATTCTCAAAAAGGTTGAGTTGGCTATTTGTGAAGAACTGGATACTGACTTAAATGTAAGTTCTAATCATGCCTACTGTAATCTATATGTTTTATTTATCTTGGATTTCAGTTTAAAGCTTTTCTTAATGTATTACATGAATGTATTTGCTACAAGGCAGAAACTTCTTTGTGGAAATATGTTGAAGTGACTCAGGTTGCTCCCCAGAGAGAAAAGAATATGTTTTCCAGGCAACAGGCAGAGGATAGTTTTGGATTACAGGAACTTCTCTGTTATGTGTGACTGGCTTAACTAAAAAATACTGGGAAAACTGGTTCTTCCCTCTCTCTGAGCAGAGAAGGCTTTCTTTGAGCTGTACTGCGTTCTGGTGCCTGTGTTGAAAACACAGGTGACAAAACATAAGTTTCTGTTTAAAATAATGGGATTGCCTCTCTAGGTGAATTTGTATGGATAAATTTACTTTTTTCCAGTCTTAAGAAAGAAATAGTTTTTTATCACTTTAATTTTGCATGGCACAAGTGTTCTTGCCTTGCTGTTAATCATTTTCTGTGCTTGCGTTAGCCTTTTTGTCAGTTATTTACCTTTTCTGATAAGCATTTCCTTCATTCTCTTTTACTAATTCTTTGAGACACTTGCATTGTCTCTACAATGAGAGTTTCTACAGTGCCAGAGAATGTTTGTGTCAGCAAAAGTTGAACCTGTCCTCTAATGTAGCATCATGCTAACAACAAATCAGTAGTTTAGTCTGCTTGTGACTGCCCTTTATGATAGAACCAGTGACTCTCTTTTAGAAGAATGGCTGCATGCTTTAATGCTTCATATCTATTTAACCATGAGATCCTTAAAAAAAAATTATTTTGTAGTATGTGGAATATGAAATTGGACTTCCACACAGAAGTGCTAATCGGCTTTATTCTATTGAAAATACTTGATGAACTCTTAGACTTGCTAGCTTCCCTTTTTAGAATCTCTTAAAGAGAGTGAAAAATCTGAGATTTTTTCCATTAACAGTGTAATTTCTCAGTAAAGGTTTTACATTTTAAATGTTGGTGTGTATAAATGAAGGACAACTCTCAATCTTTAATTCTCCCTCTGTGTAATTCAATCCAGGAGCCTGATGAAGCAGAGAAGGGAATAATTATGAATGCTTACAATAAAGTTATATATCATGTTCGTCAGGAGCAAAGTATGATCACTGTCATACAGAATAGATACTTGGCCAGTGTTGAGGTGAGTTTATGCCTTATTTCTGTCACCCTGATCTATACTAGTAACTCTTTCTGACATAATTTCTTTCTGAAAGATGTCCTTTTACCTTTTTATAAGGAGATTCTAGTATATTGGTAATGAGAGATTGGTTGGGTGAGAGCGTGGGAATTGCAGTTGTGTATTATCTCAGCCAGTTCTTCATTTCACTTAAATATAAAGATACTTTTATAAAAAAGATAAAAGCAGTGGAATCTGGAATCTCTGGATTCATTACAAGTAGTATATAACTTAAGGGGATTGAGCTTTAAGTAGAAGGTTGGTTTTCCAGAAGGTTAAGTAATTAAAACTAAATGCAATAAAAACCCTCTTGTGTGGGGACGGACTCTTAAAAGGTGAACTCAAATAGGCTTCAGGCAATTTTTCTAATGTATTGGACTAAAGCATTTTAAAATAGAATGCTTAAGCACTTCCTGATTTTTTTTTTTCTTATCCTCCTAGTTCAAACAACGTGCAGAGGAATGGCTGAATAGAAGACCTGATATTAACAACTTATTATCAATTAAGAAAACTATGAAAAGCTTAAAGGCCCAGTTAAGGTGGAAGCTGGTTGAAAAGAACAACTTTGAGGAAGTAAGAAAATGTTACACTGATGGTGGTTTTGTCTGTTGCTTTTTAAATTGATTTAGAAACATTAATTTTGTCTATTCTGAATAAGTGCTAACTATATAAAACAGTTTGTGTTTTGTGATCTGAATTTTGCCTTTAACTGCAGAAGTTTTACAGGCCCCTGAGACCAGGCCTGTTTCAGTCCCCAGCCATGGCACTGCGCTTTTAGCTAAGTCTTTCTGGTAACAGTCGCTGTTCACAGCATGAACAGTTTGTCTATCTCTTTTTACTGTGCTGGTTGTGTGATTGCTTTTAAGTTTTTACTTTGTTAATACAGCATGTATCTCCCCTTTGGTGACAGAAGTCAATGTTTCTTCTAATTTTCAGGGTTCCCCACTGCCCCTCAGAAGTCCAAAGAATGTAAATATTACCCCAGCTTCAGTACTGTTTGATCACACATCTAATTATTCTGGTGGATGCTTAAGGAAAAAAAGAACCTGCTTGTGTGTCTCTGTAAGCATTGCAAAGGGGCAGTAAGCTTCCAAGAGGGATTTAAAATGAGACACACTAATGATGGGAAAAGGATTCTTGAATAATGAGGTGACATGAGGAAAATGCCTCTTATGGGAGAAAAAAGTGAATGAATTATGGAACCTGTCGTTGCTGGTAGATGAATGATGTTGCTGTTATATATGTGTGATCAGCTAATTAAAAAAAAAAAAGCTCTTTGACTTAGGAAACAAGTAGGAAAAGGGCTGAAATATTTGGTCTGTCACACAAATAAAGGAAACACCTTTATTGGTGATTAGGTTTTAAGAGATTCTCTTGGGTTTCCAGGAAGGAGATTGAGTAAAATATGCATTTGAGAGTATGTTCAACTCCAGAATTGTGATATGGAGGCTGTTTTTTAATCCTGATAGAGTAGGTTACCATTGTTTGGTGTAATAGCAGAATGAGAATTGCACACTAACTTTGTTATTCCTAATGCAGTCTGATGATTACAGTGAGTTTGAAATGACAGGAATAAAAGAGGAAATTGCTCATCTGCGAAATAGGGTTCTTCAGGAAATATCCAAGGAACAAGAGGAATATGTAAGTATTAAACTACTTAGGCAACTAAACCAAACAAGTGAGGCACATCTGCATTTCAGTTGCTTTAATGTGTGCTCTGGGTAAAATAAAAAAATGGGATTTTGATAGTGTTCACTGTTAATGTGGCCCCTGTTTGGTGAAAGCTATGGGAGAAGGCATGGAGGCTGATTGGTTCTATCTTTATTGGAACATAGTTTCTTCAAACCTTTTCTCTCTTCCCCTCTCCATAAGGGGGCGAGGTGAGGAAAAAAAATAAATGTAGTTCTCAACCCAGAAGAACTCCAGGTGGAAGTGTAAGCTCAGTTGCTGAAGAAATACTGCATTTCTTGCAAGCAGGGCAACTGTTCCCTAGGGACTAGGTTAAAACAGGCTTTTATCCTGAAGTGAAGGAGATAACCCTTTCTCTAAGTCTTTTATGTAGAGGGAAGAATCGGAAACCATTGCCTTGTGAGTGAGTAGGAGGGCACCAGGACTTGTGGTGGTGATATACCTACCTCTGCAGGTGTACCATTTGTGTGTAATGGTTACCTTACAGCTGTGTGGGGTCTGGGCATGGAGGAGATGCTGGCCTGGTCTGTTAGTACTTGATTCCTGTCTTTCTCCACTTACCTGTAGTGAAGTTGTTCTCCTTTGTTTAGGCCTATTAAAACCTTTTGTAGAAAGGATGAAATGTTTTCTTTGATAGTGCATGAGCTATTTGGGCCCTTGACACTACCCACCCTCAGACCTTTCAAAAATCTGTCCATATTGATCTGCTCTATTCACGTTTTCTGTGGTTGTGTGTTGGGTTTTCGTTTTTTTTGCCTTTTTTTTTTTTTAAAGCAAATGGCAGTGTTACTTTGAATGTTGCTGTTGAAGGAGGTACAGTCATTTACAGTCATGTACAGTGTACATTTGAATGTCCTGAGTATATATTGAAAATGTCAATTTGTATTTGTGTGCCAGAAACCAATGACCTGTGGGCCTGTTTCCTTTATCTAGGAGAAGCTTACTTATTTGGTACAGAAATGGTTCCCTGAGTTACCACTTCTTTATCCAGAAGCAGGAATTCTAAACTATATGGTAAGCAGAGATTGTGTCTGAATGCATTGTCAGTTATTGTTTCAGGCACTCTCAAGGCTCTGCTCAGTCTTTGTCCATTTGGGGGTCATATACCCTTAGCTAAGTTTGTTGTGGTCTTCCTCCTCCTCCCCATCTTCTGGGGGTTGTTCAATGAATCATTTCATTAGCTGCCTCATCCTTGCCAGCCTCTTGGTAACAGATGCACTAACTTTTACAGATGCTAACTTTTTAACATGTCCCAACTGGTTTTGTACTTTGCTATGTTGATTGAGGAAGAGGAGAGGTAGTCAGAACCTCTGAATCTTACCAGCTGTTAAATGCTGTGCACTTACCCTGGATTATCTGTGTGTCCATGTGCTTCAGAACTTTGGTGGACTTCTGACACACAGCCTGGAGCGAGACCTTTTGGATGTAGAGCCCATGAAGGAGCTGAGCACGAAGCGACCTTTGGTGTGTTCAGAAATTCGGGGCCAGAAGGTTCTTTTAAAGGTAATGTTGGTTCAGTTAGTGCTGCAGGTGAGGCCTTGGCTTCTTGTTGTGCTGATTCTGAATGAACTCTGCTCTTCCTTTCATATCCCTGTGTTTATCAGCCCTTTTCTGATGACACATTTGTTTTTTGTCAAGGCCTGTAGAACACGAAGAATTGTTGTCCTGCTAGATTGCTTACTGATTTTTTTTTTTCCATTTCTTTTGAGGACTGCTGTAGTGAACAGCGCTTTCCTCTGCTGTCTGTTCTTTCTGGTATCTGGTGGGTTTTTTTTCCTGTTCATTACTCCTGTCTCTTTTTGCAGATGCTAGTTTCCCATTTCACTGAGAAATTTCAAGAACTGCTGCTCTGCTTCTCTACCGATCTGCTTGCAATTGGGAAACCAGAGGATGTAGTATTTTGAGAGGCATAGTTGTAAATAGTCATCTTGCTTTTGACTTGGCTTATTTAAATCTCAAATTAGAGACACGCTCCCTGTTTTGTTGGTACAGACTTTCTAAGAGTTAATAAGAAAATATGGGAGCAGTCTATGACAGTTGGAATTTAATTTTGTGTTAAGTAGAAGAGGAAGTTATTTGATGACATCTAACAACACGCGTTTCTTTAATAAAAAAAAGTTTAATTCAATAATATTACCAGCATTAGGAGTAATAGTTTGGCTATCTGTTTTGTTTTTAAGGGATACTCTGTAGATGTAAGCTCAGAAGCCAAAGTGATAGAAAGAGTTGCCAAATATCACAGAGCTTGGGATCAGCAGAAAGAGAAATCTGGATTATTACAGCTGTTGTTTCTTCTTTTCTGCAAGGCAAGATTCAAATTCATTATCTTGATTTCGGGTTAAAGCTGAAAGACTTGCAGTTGTACCTTAAAGCTTTAACATGTCAAGTTAGAGCATTGAATCAAACATTTAATTTCTGAGTTCAGATAAGCTGTCTACTTAGTATATAATGAATCAATTTATCACATATCTAGTGCATGTTAAATTTCCCAATATTTCTGATATTTGAAACAATCTATTTTTCTTTTCTGTTTTTGGTTGTTAAAGTCTGATCCTTTGATATATTTAATGGTCCCGTACTATCCAGGAGCAAGTTTGGGAGCTTTACAGGCTAATGCACCTTTGTCTTTAGAAGTAAGTATAACTACTTAGACTATCAGCATTTTATTTTGTATGTCTTTGAACTGAACTCTTGCTTATCTTGTGATGCTGATAGTGTTTCACTGGCATTCTTAGAACCTGGTCAGGCAGTAGTTTATAACTTTCTAAAAGAGATTTTGCTTGGATACACTTCTTTCTTTTATTGAAATTAGCGCCTCAGCTGTATTACTAATACGTTTAAAAGAAGTGCTGGAGTAGAACGTGCTAGATGGCCAGGAGCAGACATTTCTGTATGGAAGTTTTAGAGGACTCCTATGTGTATAACTTGTTTCTTTCTCCCTCACTTCATCTCCCTCCTTTTCCTTTCTCTCCTCCCCACACAGTGTATCAGCAGTTCAGGTCATCATCCCTTCTCAAAGAAGCAGTAACTAGAAGCCAATGCAGTCTTTTCTCTAATTCTGTTTGCTGACTTGGACCTACTTGTAAAAGTCTAAATTGCATGGTTGCATGGTTGTTTTTTTTTTTTTTGGGGGGGGGGGGTTTGCTGCTATATTTTTTCATGTTAGTGATTTTTTTAATCAGTGACTCAATTTTTTTTTTCTACCTGGCATGCAAGTCATAATAATCTTACTAGGAATTAATCCGTAGTCCATAAAATAGAATTGGCATGAACTTTGAACGTGTAAAATTGTAAAATGCTAAATTGGTTGGTTGCATGGTTTTTTTTTTTTTTTTTGGGGGGGGGTGGTTTGCTGCTATATTTTTTCATGTTAGTGATTTTTTTAATCAGTGACTCAATTTTTTTTTTCTACCTGGCATGCAAGTCATAATAATCTTACTAGGAATTAATCCGTAGTCCATAAAATAGAATTGGCATGAACTTTGAACGTGTAAAAACCTTAAAAAAGAAGTCTTAGTTCTGGACAGAAACTTACTTGATGCTGTGCTTTGTTTTTTCCATTATCTTTGTAATAAACACCCAAATTACATCATTAGGAGGCATTAAAAGTGATGAAAGGAGTGGCCCAAGGTCTACAAACGTTGCATGGAGCTAATCTAGTACATGGATCTCTGCATGGAAATAATGTTTTTGCTGTGGATCGAAAACAAGGAATTGTGGGAGACTTTGATTTCACAAAACCAGAGGTAAAAAAAATAAATCCTGTAGTGACTTTTAGTTAGAATTCTGTATCAAAACAGACAACTGTGTTTGCAATTTAGAAGATTTATTGATAAAGGTTGTGCTTAGCAGAGAGACTCCTGTTTCATATTCTGAATAAGATTGAGCAGTTTGAGTCTTGTAAATGCAATCTAATCTTGGAAGGGGAAAAAAGAATTATTGAGTGCAGGCTCTGGTTAACCAAACAGTGGAACGGAAAAGAGAACTTGCTGCAGTTGTTTGTTGACTGTCTGTATTGTATATTTAATGGTAATCAGCATCATTGGAGGCCAGAGTAAGAACTCCTGTTTTAACAAGTCCTGGTCAAGCTCATATGAAGTCTTTGCCTTTCCATTTGATAGGTAACGGGGTTCTAGTATGTGTTTTAATCTGTCACAGTACTTGGTAAATTAACAGGATTTTATATGTTGCCTACATATACCTGTATTTACACATACTGCTGACTTAGTCCTCAGTCTCTGTAGTAGAGAATTTCATAGTTGTTCATGGGGACAATGTAATACTCTTTAAGAACACAAGCTATGTTTTTTTAACTTATTCATTGTGTTTATATAGCAAAGTCTCCAATAATGGTATCTCTTCTGTAGTCAACTTTTGACTTTCTAAACTCAGGTTCTTTGAGCCAAAACATTTTTGCGCTAGAGGTCTGCTTCGTGTTTAGTTAATTTTTAAAATAGTAGTATTTATTGTAATCCTATGTCATGCTAGTGTAATAAACACAATAAAAATAAAAGTAAGTTTCATTGAGAACCCTTATTTCTGCTTTGGAAATGCATTATCTGTTAATCTCATGAAGAGTGTCAATTGTTTGGATAGCAAGGTGTGTTTCCTTTGAAATAAATTTCGATTTTCAACATGCTAAAGAGAGATGCTCTAAACATTTTTGACAGCTAAATTTTCTGAAAAGTCGCACTTGGTACAGATGGTGTCATTGTGAAAACTGCAAGAGCTAAGGAAGAGTATCCCTCTCTTTACTCTCCCTGCATGTATGGGCTGTGCTGAAATGATCAGCTTGTGTGTGATAGAGCAGGAAAGTTCCACCCATGGTCTGCTGTTTGGATCCAGTTTGTGCCTTCCCTGTAGGGGTGTCAGTGCTGCTCAGTGCCCATCCTTTCTGCGTGGTCACAAATGCATGAGTAGAGCTGGTAACTGATGTGTTACTGAGTACTCTTGGCAGTCTGGAGACTAGTTGTCTCCAGTCTGGCTATAGCTGGTGCAGACTATTGTCATGGAGGGCGATAGAAACTCAGGGTCTAGCTTCTGTTTTGACAGCAGATAGTCCTAAAATATGCTGAAAATCCAGAGGGAGGTAGCAGATGGTTTCAGGTAAAGACCAGAAAGGCAGAGAAGAAAAAAATAGGAAAGCTGGCAGAACTGAACTTTAGACCTGAAGTTCTCCAAAATACTGCTGAACGTCTTTTAATACTTGTGTGGTTTTTTTTATTTTCCTAATTTGAGAAGTTTTGCAGTTTATATTCTTTACCACCTTATGAGCTTTCATAGTTCTGGTATGGAGTAAGATCTGCCATCCCTATTCTTCTGTTCCAGTTACAGATGATAGGTGTGTGACGTTTATCTCTTTTTTTTTTTCCCTTTACACACCACTTTTTTTTTGATCAGTAAAGGAGGATTTTACATTTCACACTGGGTCAGTACAGAACTCTCTGCTAAAGTTATCTGACATATTAAAAGGGAGGGATACATACTCTTCAATGTGTGGTTGGTCTTGCTTGAAATTATGGGTATACTGTTTTTTTCCCCCATAGGAACAGCGTGCTGCTGCAAACACTATGGTTGTTGGTACCCTGAGCTTAGTTTCTCCTGAACTGAAGATGGGGCAGCCAGCTTCTCCAGCCTCTGACATGTATGCGTATGGCTGCCTTCTCTTCTGGGTACGTTATGGCTTGGGCAAATGTTTCTAGCGACATTAAGGAACTGTAGCAGGCTTATAAAGAGCGATGTGATAATTATCTCCAACTTCTGCTTTGAACTATTTTGGCAAAATAAGTGTTCATGTTTTCAACTGAGTGTTAAGCGTAGAACTTGCCATTATGGGCAGGAGACAGTGCATTTTTCTTTAAAATAAACTGTGTAATTTGTATAGTAGTATGAACAAAATACGAATTTTCTCTGTCATGCTGTGGGTTGTCAGTTCTTACTGCACTTCCTATTAATTCTTTGTGAGCCTTTTTTTTTTTTCTTCTTTTTATATGACTTTGCCATTGAGTAATTACCACAGCCAAAAGAGAGGAGAAATGAAGGCAGGCATGGGACTGGCGTATGTTTTGTTGCTGGCAGTAGTGCTTAGATAACTGTTTTGTTTCTTAGTGCATGGTATTCCAGGTAGGAGAAATCGACCTGGAATAACACCTGGAGAAGCACAGGAATCTACTTTCCTGTGTTAGGTGGTATGTTGCACAGCCTCTCCTCCATCTCCTTTTTGTCCTCCTGCACTGTATTTCTGCCTTCGCAACTCTGGGTGTTAGTGCCATGTGTCCTGAACAGGGAAACTACAAATTTCTCAAAGTGGAAAAGCCACAAGATACCCAGCAAGTGCTGATATTCCCAGGCAGTGATTTTGCATGAGAACTTGGTGTCTTGGAACTGGTTCCCTGAGCACCAGTTGGAGCTTCAGGTACATGGGGGGTCTTCCCCTGGCGTATGTTTTGTTGCTGGCAGTAGTGCTTAGATAACTGTTTTGTTTCTTAGTGCATGGTATTCCAGGTAGGAGAAATCGACCTGGAATAACACCTGGAGAAGCACAGGAATCTACTTTCCTGTGTTAGGTGGTATGTTGCACAGCCTCTCCTCCATCTCCTTTTTGTCCTCCTGCACTGTATTTCTGCCTTCGCAACTCTGGGTGTTAGTGCCATGTGTCCTGAACAGGGAAACTACAAATTTCTCAAAGTGGAAAAGCCACAAGATACCCAGCAAGTGCTGATATTCCCAGGCAGTGATTTTGCATGAGAACTTGGTGTCTTGGAACTGGTTCCCTGAGTCTCAGTTGGAGCTTCAGGTACATGGGGGGTCTTCCTGGGAAACAGTGCGGCAGTTCCATCAGCTGCACAGTGATGGCTTTGGTAAACCCTTCTGTGCTGTGGCATCTTAAAAACACTTCCTAAAGGAGAACTAGACTGCAGGGTGATAGGTAGCCACTCTCCGTCACCTGTGCTGAAGAGATGAAGCTGGTTCATATACAAGTCACTCTGTTATGTTTTATTCCCAATTTAGGAAACAGTTGCTTAGAAATGTAATTTTTCTACTGAAATAAATGAATTAAAATATAGCTTAATATTGCAGATACTTATAATTTATGTGGTACTGTTTAGTTGGCACATTTTCAGTATTGCTAGTCAGATCTACAGCTGTTCTAGAAAAAAGACTTCCACAAGTGTGTTTAAAAAAAAAAAAGAAACAGTTTTACAAATGGCTTGGTCTGTTTGAAGGGAATATCTGGGATGCAGCAAAGATCAACATTCTTCTGAAACCTCACCCAAGTTTGTCAGCTGAATTTTAGACTAATCCACATGTAACTAATCTTCAATTCAGACTTGGTGTTGTATTGATCATTTGATGGAAAATTCCTGCTTGGGTGTTAGTATTATGTTCAGCAGTTGCCAGTTTCATGTTTGGCATCTGAAATTGTGTTTTCCCTCATTAAACAGCAGCACAACTTCTAAAACAGAGAATTTCTCAGAGTTCTCTGGTTCTCTGCTGATCTGTGTCACAAGAGCCCAACGCTGACTAAACACGATTCCTTTTGCCATCTATGTAATTGTTGAGAATAGAGGCATTTTCAGCTTAATCTTCAGGCAGGGTTTTGAAAAATACTGTACTCAGGCATGGTTCTAGGCAATAGTAAAGACTGGGGAAATTTTACTTTGTATATGGGTACAGGGTTCTCATTTGTCTGTTAGAGTGCACTTACCCTTCAGCATTTCTTAAAAAGCATTCTATAATTGAATGTACAGCTTGGGCATGGACTGTAACCTATATTTTTAAAAGTCTTATTTCTTTTCACCTCTAAAATTTCTTCTGGTACTATTTTTTTCTCCTTGTTTCTGTGTAAGGAAACTTGAACCCCTTGCATGTTTTACCTTACTGTGAAACTAGAATAAAAGCCTTTCCCTACCATTTTCCCATAACAGGCCATTTTCACTTGAAACCCGGAGTGTCCTTGACTTATGTTTGGTTTTGTTAAGCTAGAGGGAAACAACACCACCAGTGTTATGTATCTCTTCATTTACAGCTTTGCGTTCAAAACCAGGAGTTTGGCATCAAAGAAGATGGAACACCTGAGGTGGATGCAGTTGTCATGGTATGTCAGTTGTCAGATGAGGAAGATTCGACTGCTGTTGTTTAGAAGTGGTTAATTGATTTTTTTTTTTTTAAGTCAGACTTCATTGTAAGTGCTGGTTAGAAAATGTTTTAATTGACTATTTGGATAATTCTAAATAGCATGTACAAATAAATGATGTTTGAGAAGGTAGAAAACCCCAGAGTTTTCTTAGTATTTAACTCCAGCCTTGGAAGGAGCAACTTCTTCATGAATAACTGTTAATGGGATGATGCCAAGTTACAAACTTGAGGAATAAGTCATAGAGATTCAGCCTCATTGGAGGTATTTGAGTTAGGAACCTATCTTTTCTGAAGTCAGGGAAGTTGATCTTATTAATCTGTCTTCCTGCATAATGATTGCACAATGCTCGAGCATTAATAAAACAGCTAAATTCCATTTTAATAACTTAAATGCAGTTGTAAAAGTGTATTGTGCCCTTTGTTCTTTGGTTTGTTTTTGTGTGTGAGAAACACAAACATTTCTATGCCTCTGAAGCAAATGCACAGATAGAAGTGGACCCTGCATTATACGAATTTGTGTTGCTGCTTTCATTCTTTCTACTCTGAACTGTTGTTCTTTGTCCACTGTATGCCAGCAACTGTTGTCACCTTCAACTCTATTTTCAGTCCCTTTTTAGAAGCTTATCCCTGCCCAGTGTCTCAGTGACTCTTTGAGAATAAGTAGACCTGTGTGCCTTAATGTTTTCCAACTTAGGTCTTCAGCTTTGAAGTAGATTCTTCACTAACTTATTTCTTGGATGTTAATCATAAGCAGATAAAATTACGGCCTTCTCTCTGTGTGCCTTAGTTACCTGAGCACTTGTCTTACCTTGGGTTTATTTTCTTGTGCAATTCTCTTTCCCCGTAAGCTTTAGCCTTCTGGGCAGGAGTTAATACCTTTTTTTGTTGCCTGCTTTCAACCTCTTCTACCTTTGCTACAGGCAATTACTTTTCCTTCTTATAAAAGTTGGAATAACAAAACATTTGCCACCATATGTAGTTAAAGACATTCACCTTGAAAAAGGTTTATGGACCTTTTTCAAATTGTTAGCCTTTTCAGACTAGTTTCTGCTTCATACTTTTTGCTGTACCTTCTGCCTTTCTTGTTACTGACTGCTTTATTGTTGTCCTGTGTACCTTCCATCTCACTTGAGTGGATTGCCCTTGTGGTTTTTAATCTGCATGGAAACTTCTCATATCATGCTTATTCTGTATTGACCCTGTAAATATTGTTTCTGACTGGTTATTATAGTTGCTTGCTTTCATATTAAAAGTTAAATGGATCTCCTGAAACACACAGTACTATAGGAAAGAAGATTCAGTAGTTCATGGTCTGTCATTAGGGCTAACTAGGAGTTTTAAATATATTCCACAAAACTTGTACAGAACTGTCTGCCCAGTCTATCGCTCAGGATCATGCATAATCCTTAGATACTGAAAAACCTAACTTTCTCTCGTGCACAAGGGAAACTTAGTTGTTCAAGGAAATAGAGAAGATTTCTTGGGACATTAAAAATAGGAGTTGGTTCACTTCTGTTTTCTGTAAAACTTCTGCTGTGATAGTGTTCTGCAAATAAGGCCTGAAGTGTTAGGCCTCAAAGGTTAAATGGCTGTTTCAGGCCACTTCTGTGCTCTTCCATAGCAGGTATCTTCTGGAGTGCAAACAGCTGCCTTCATCTCAGGACAATTAATGACAACTAATGAATTTAGCCGTTACTGTTTATTATTGATACTAACAATTTCTTGTACAGCTTCTTATAAGAGCAAGTTTCTTTAACAGTTTTCCCTGATGAAAGCAGCAGCATTTGATTTTGACCTTGTCAGGTGATACAATTCTAATCAATATATCATTGTTGGCAGTTTTTAAGGATTCATCCTGGATTCGTGTGCAATGCACGTGCACCAACCACCTAAGTCTGCTGGAAAGCAATCTGTGCTGCCTGCAGTGCACATGAGGGTTTTGTTATGAAATGTAATACTAATAAATATCTTTCAGCTGTTTCTTGGGGAATCTTTTAGACCTCTGAATGTTAATCCTTGTCCCAGTTCTTGGGGAAAATCTACTGAATGTTAATCCTTGTCCCAGTTCTTGGGGAAAATCGTTTTTTTTGCTTTTAAGTGCTTTATCTATAATCAGCTTACTCGGAATTAATCTCCATGCCCATCTGCAGGCTCTTGACAGACTGGTAATTTCCCTTCCATCTGAGTCTCGTGCCCAGAGGAATTGCACAGTTGCAACTAGTAAAATTTTTGTTGTTTTCAGCAAATGTAAAATGACCCCAGGAAAATAATGTTAAGCTTTAAAACAGGAATATTAATGTTAGGTAACTTGTGAAGAAAAGCACAGTTTAGAGATCAGCTCTTTAGCCACTCCTGTAGCCATGCCAAAGTTCAGTGTTATGTTTCAGCATCTGGTTTTGCATATTAAAAAAACAGTAAAGAAGAGCAAACACAATGAAATGGAGTAAACATGAAGTGTTGTCCTACAGCACTATTCCTTGTGGAATCAATTTTCAGTTTCCTTAGTGCACGAAGGTGGTGAGAAGGAGATATTTAGTATCAACAGACACTTGATAGTATCATGAAATGTGAATATACAATTACAAAGCTACTCAAGCTCTTTAAATGCTCAGACTTTCTTCACTTTTAATTTTCCAGAGGAAGTGTGTAGTCATGGTTCACTCCTGTATTTCACTGCACGTGTTTGGATCTTCTTAACTAGAGGATTTCCTTTGAGCATTTTAAATATTTTATAAACATTCAACAATCCTTTATGCTTCTAAGATCAGCAGTTGTGGGATCTCCTCTTTTCACCCAGATTTCAGATTACTTGGGGAGTGGCTAATTCTCCAGAGTCACTCTAGTAATTAGTGGAAGAGTTGGAAATCATCTGCTTTTTTTTTTTGGGTACTTGGATGCATTCCTTTGCATCACATTGATTCCTCTCTCTGGGTGAAGTGGTGAGAGGTGTAGAGGTGTCTTGTGCTTTGCTGTTTTGTTGACCCTGATCAGAGGTGTTGCTGGCTTTGAGACTGTGAAAAAACAAGCCTTCTTATGGAAAAATTCTGTTCCTGTTGAATTCTGGTAACCTAGATCTCTAGATGAGCATTTGAGATTGTCTTTCTTGCAGTCCCCCTTGTCCAAATCCAGTGTGTTCTTCCACCCTTAGCAGCTGATGTTTATGCATGTGTGTAGCAGATGTGGTTTTCTCTTGTGTATTGAGTCTATGGATTCTAGCACTGTTAATGTGCTAAGCATTTAGGCACGTAATCCCTTCTGATAAATCCAAAGAGATTAAGTGTAAATGATGGGTTAATAGCAAAATAGCTGCTGTTGATTTAGGCCCTGTTACTTGGTTGTTTTTTTTTCTTGTGCTCTTGTAGAGAGAGAAGGCAATGTGACGGAAGTTAAGAGATGAATTTGTAGAAGGTGAATGGCACTTGTTCTGTGCTTTCTTAGTAGAAAGACCAACTTCACTATTTCTCTTAATTTGTAGTAGTACAGTGAATTCATATTTTAAAATACAATAACTCACACTCTTCTGTGAAGTCTGCTGGCAGCAGGTTGACAGACCTGGTGCTGAATGCTTAGTTTTATTTTGTTGTTAATGAGGACTATGACTGTCAAGTGTTGCTGACCATTGGGAATACTATGGGACAACCTATTGCAAGGGCTTTGGGCCCCTACGCACTTACAAGTGTGGTTATCAAATAGTTGGTTGTTATTTGTAATAGAGTTCGCTTTGCTTACTAATGAAACCTTTCTCCCTCTGTTTGTAGGATGATAAAGTTAAATCTCTTCTCCTGAATTTGTTCTGCTGTAACAGACTGACAGCTGAGCAGGTGCTGAGGGACGATTGTTTCCTCACAGTTGATGTGATTCCAGTTTCACCACATCCAGGTGAAGAGCATGAGCCACGAGAAGAACACGATTCTGAGAAGACAGATGAAAAAAAAATGTAATTACCTGAGGTGAATGGAGCAAACCCTACTCAATACATGAGGAACTTTTCCATCAGGTGTTTGATTGAGACTTCTGTTTTTGTTTGGCTTTGAAATCATTGCCCTGATCTGAAATCTCAAAAATATAAAAGGTTTGGTAGGTGCAGTCATGTTTTGTGATTGCACGATCTTCACTGTGATTCAAGTACATTTTATTCCAAATAAGTGCGGGTATAAGTGTGGTGTTACTGATCGTGTTCTTTGTCAGCCTTTTTCTTTGTCCGTTACATAGGCTTTAAATTTACAGGGAATAGTTGTTAGATGCCAGAGATCTTTAAGATGAAGCTTTAGTGACTTGTTTTTGTATCCAGTTTTCTATCACTCCTCTTGCTGTGATTCCAGAGAACGTGTTCCTCTTAAAGATGCTCTAGGGCATTACCTTCTTGCTGGAGGTTTTTTGTTACTGCATAAACAAGTTGTTCCTACAGCAACTGCCTTTTTTAAGGAAAAAAGAAAAGAAAAAATACTGCTTTGACAACTGGAAAAGGAAACAGCAGTGTGCCTCTTCTGTCTTTCTGCATTTGAAAGATGCAGTTGGCTTTCTAGGGAGCAGGCATCCTTCTAGTTGCTCCTTTGCAGTGCTGCTGCCAACCAAAATGCTATGCACACACGTTTGCAAAAACTGCTGCTTATTTGCTCTACATAAGTGTATGTATATATCATCTGTTCTAAAACACTGCTCGCGATAGCTGTAAAGGTGTGATTTTCTTGAGTGAGTTTGCCTGCAGCACCTTGCTGTTAATGTTACCATTGAAGGAGTTTTGTCAGCTCTTTATTTTTACAGGAAATAGTCGCTTATCTTTATGAAGGTTTTCGTTTCTTCTTGGAAAGAAACGGGTCAAAAATGTGCAGAGTTGCTGTAGCAATATATTTAGCCTCTGGGTGTTGCTCTTGGACAGCGCTGTTAGCAGACTAGAGTTTTGTAGAGGAATTATTGAAGATGCACGTTGTCAGATGAGGGATGTAAAAATGTAGTATGTAATGGGCATGAAGCAGCACCAGGGGACTTGGGGAATGCGTGGTTACAACAATACAGTCCACAGTGGATAGAAGATACCACCTTGGCATATATACCTCTGATTTGGTTTTCCAGCCTTAAACCATGCTATATATTTTTAGCATGTAAGATGCTTAATCCTTTTTTCATTAAATGATTAATGACTCTACTAGTTTATATGTGTATAACCAAGGAGAGCAAAACCTTTTGTAAAAATATTTTTTTTGTAGAATTTTTAGTGTAATAAGTATTTTCGTTATAGAAATCACAGAATAATATTTTCTTTTTTGTCAACGAAAATAAACACTTCAGCAATTTTGTGGGGTGCTTTCCAAATATTGATTGCAGTCTTTCACTGTTAATAAAAGGCTAACTTTAATTTGAATTAGTTACACATTGAATAGAGGTTAGAAGACTAACCTGATGGTTTGGGTTGTGCAGTGTCATGTATATTGGAATAAATTTTTGCCCAGTTTTCCTGCTCCAGAGTCCATGCAACCTAAAGTGTACTTGTTAAATCCCCAAATTGCTAACCTTTTTTTGGTTTTCTGAAACCAGAAGTCTTGTGATTAAAAAAAGTTGCAGTGTCTTCAAAATATCTTCACTAGCTGTATGTAATATGATTTTCACAGGTGGAACCTAGCACATGAGTTTTTTATTTTTTTTTGTAAAGATACAATAAAACTTGAAATCTTTTGGTACATATGAGTGTCAGGTTATGATACAGCCTTGCCATTTGAATTAAAAGTTGATTACAGATTTTGTGTCACCAGTTCTGTTTGTTTCTACTTCGACCTTTTCTATGGTAATTTTTTAGCTCTAGCTTTCTTTTCATTTCTTACTTGCCGGAGGCCTTAAGAAAATAGGTTGGTTCAGGGTCATGTTGCACAGCTGTCCTGACAAAGCTGAATATTAATCCATGGTAATGGACTACCTGCTGTTTAGATTGATGCTCACATTTTTCAACTGCATCTCTTCTAGCTAGAAGGTGGATACCCAAATGATAGAGAAGGGAGGTTGAAATGATCCTGTAGGAATAGTCTATCTCCTTACTCACTTGCTGCCTCTTCTTAGCAGGCCAAGTGAAACTTACCTCACTGCCTTGCTATCAGTGTTGTACAGTTGTGAGCAGTGTCCTTGCACAGGCCAGGTTGGTGGGGTACTTTCAGGGGCTGAGTGTTACTTCCCTGGGAAGTAAGGAGTTCAGTTGCTGTCATGGGCCCAAGAAGTTCATATCTTCTCATGGTCTCTAAGTCTGCAGTTACAGGTCTTGGTGCTGACGACTTCCTTTCGTGAGGACTGTTACCTTTGTTCCTTGGTCACATTTGTGTTCTCTGCACACCTGACCTTGGTGTCCACCAGTTGTGTGTCGGTATCAGTCTTGGCTTTTGCTCAGGACCCAAGTCAGCTACTACAGTCACCTTCTGGTTGTAGATCAAGTATCAACATCACCGAAGAGGAAATGCGTTCTTCAGGCATCTGCAAGCAACCACTTCCTCCGGCTGTACCTAACCTAGCCTGCAGACCAGGGATAGGGCTGGTTTTCTTTGGGAAGAGGACTTCTTCCAGCAGGTTGGGAGAACATCAACATTTCTTATCTCCATGGTTTGGGTGGAGCTGTGGGAACCACTCCTCCTTTAAGTGCTGCACCTCCAGTCACTTTTGGAGACTCCTGCTGTTCAGTTTATAGTCTTCCTGCCCACCCTAACATCCATAATAACGTTACTGCATCTTTCCACATAGTTTGCTGCTCACTTCATTAGTATTTAACACTTCTGCCTGTTTGGTTTAGGGAAAGGTGGTGCTTTTTTCATACTTCAAAATAGCTTTCTGCTAGTACAGAGTCCTTCTTACCAGCACTCACTAGTATTTTAACAATTTTTTTTCCCTGATGGTGGCTGCTAGTTTGTACAGCCTGCAGGTTAAATTACATTCCTTCATAGGCATCTGCCTCAAGGGCTTCCCCTTAGTGGGCAAAGATTTATTTCATCTGCAGTCACTTCATTCCCCCAACTGACAAGGAAATTGGTATGAATTCATCCTGATTTCAAATGAGGAGTCTATTAACTTGCAGGTTGATGGCTTTATAGACCATGGTGGGTGTTTGAGAGCCAGATCTTCATTCGTGTAACTTAAAACACTGGTGAAAACTTTTCTCAGATTTCTGGGTGTGTGCTGACAGGCACTGAAATTATGAACTGTGTCACATACCTCACTTGAGCAGTTCTCTTGAAATGTGCATTTTTTTTCAAAGCAGACACACTTGGTGGCTACATAGACTCAAAACAATTGTCAGATTGTCCTGTCCTTTGGGGTCATGGACAGATCTGTTAGGACGTGGAATTCTATTCTGTTAGTGCCAGCCTGCACTGTGGTGGGGACACATGGGCTTGGGTGTTGGAGTTGGGTTTTGGCAGCTTTAGGTTTCGGGGCTGCCATATATCAAGATCACACCACATAGAAGCATTTTTGTAAGTTAAAACCATTTGAATTGGAATGTGGATTTTTTTAAAATGTATTTTATTATCTCTCTTGTTTGGTGTCTTTGTAAGTGTTACAGCTGCAAGGTGTGTTATTGGTAGGTGAGGGGAAACAAGACTTGCTCTTCTGTTTGAAGACGTGATGTTGGTTTGTGTTTGTTAGGACCAGCAGTTCCAGGAACCACTTAGAGCTGCCTGAGGCCAGTGGGCAGGACCCCCTTCCACCTGCTGTACGGCAGAGCTGGGAACGCTTCCCAAAACTCCCCGACATGGAGTTCTTCACTTGCAGCAGGTTTTGCCCTTACCAGGTGTGTCTTGCATTTTCCCTTCTCCTAGATGTGGCCTGGGCTGCCTGTACTGCTAAAGTGCGTGTTATGGCCTTGCAGTCGGTGTGTGGCTGCGTGTAGATTTCCAAGGGCTGAAGGAAGGTGTAGAAAATCCTCTCCATCACTTACCAAGTCCTTCATGCATTGCTGCAGCTTCTCTGTCTTGCTAACTGCTTGAGAACTTTGCTTCTCTTCCCTGTACTCACTCTGGTAATTGGGTTTCTCTGCTGTGGCGTTGCTGGAACCTGAAGATCCATAAAATGCAAGTTCTTACTTGTGTTGCCTTACGTACCTCATGGTGGGTGAAGTTATTTACCTGCTTCCCCACCTTGCCCTGCTGAGGCAGGAGTTGACTAGACACAGGGTCAGCTCTTGAAGGAGAATGTAAGAGTTACGTACCCAGTAGACAGCCTTGCAAATATCTTGAGCTTCGATGGAAGGATTTTTAAGTGGTAATTAGCACACTTCAAATTTTTATGCTGTGTTTGCATGAGCTGTGGTAAACTGCAAGCCGTGCAAGTCCTACCAGCTGAAACACAGAACAAACAGGCAAGAAGCCTTGTGCAGCGTGGAAGTCACCTGCAACACAAGTGTGTGTAGCAAGCGCAACTTGGAGGGTTATCAATCCAGCCTCCCTCAGGAGAGAAACCAGGAGAACTCCTTTGGAGCAAATAGACTGAAGATACTGAAGATGCTCTGGTCCAGCTACTATGATGAAAGCTGGGTGAATACTGCAAAGTAAAAGGCTGCTGACCTTGATACCAGGAGATGAAAGTGGAGGCTGTTGGAACTGCAAGTGCTTTTTTTGGAAAACTTTTTTTTTTTTTCTCTTTTCCTCATAGGACTTTGTTTAAAGTCTGCTGTTGGGAAATGCAGATCTGTTCCATAGCAACTTTTCTTCCATCTCCTAATTTAAGATAACTGTCAAAATGATTCCACAAAAGCAATGCCAGCCTCTTTTTGAAAGGCTGGTTGTTGTTGCCAACATTCATCATGTTGCGGGTGTGCAGTTGTCATAAGCTCATCAGTCTGCCTGTAATTTTTATCCTCTGTCTTGCCAGCAAGAGGTGGAGCTCTTGTTCATTTGTTCTTCCAGCTGTCACCTTTCCTCTGTAAAGTTGTTTTTTTTTCTTTTTTTTTTTTTAAACCTAGTTGGAATCTTTTGTTTGTCTGTTTTTAACTTCTCCATTGGCCCAAGGGCTGGCTACTCTGACTACCTGTTTTCTCTGCACCTTTGTGTAAAATTTTTTTGTGAAATGATGAAATTTGGTGTCTGGATACGTTTCAGGCTATCATAGTATCATGGAATGGTTTGGATTGGAAGGGACCTTTGAAGGTTCTTGATCTGCAAAGCTGTTAAATTCTTAGGGCATCTTTTGCTGTTAGGGCCTCACCGATCAGTCATTATGACTCAACAGCTTTTATATTTCAGTACTTTTAATTCCTTATGTTGTCTCTATAAACACCAATGTTGTAGAAGGTGAGCATGGTTTAGTGCTGGTGTTCGTTTGGAGACACCGTTGTTTTAACACCAGTTATTGCAGTCCTGAGTAGTGTACTCTGGGCAATCCTGCTTTGGCAGGGGAGTTGGACTAGATGATCTCTAGAAGGTCCCTTCCAACTCCAACAGTTCCGTGATTCTGTGGTTATACTGGTGTCGTTTGCAAGTAACAAGGCTGCTCATGTGCATAAACTGTGAGACTGATCATTTGGGTACGCTGTAGTGATTTGTCACAGAGCAGCCTTTTTTCCTCCAACTTAATAATAGGCTTGCAGCCTCTTCTGGATGCGTGCTGCATCTTGTCCCACTGTTTTACTAGGGAAGCAGCTGATCTTTAAAGATAGGGTCAAAAAACCTCACTTTTATTTATAATCATCTGCTTCCACCGCTGGAGACAGACGTGGTGTGGGGAACTCGGGGTGAGAGTGGGTACCACTGATTTGGGTTTTGAACACCACCTTTTCCTTCCTGGGTACTTCTGCTTCAGTGAAAGTCTCTTGAAAAAAAGACAGGTTTTGATAGGAAGCTTAAGAAATGTGCAGTACATCTGAAGAGTACTTGATCGTGTCTATACACGCCACCCATACGCTGTATCAGAGCATAGGTGGCAGTGTTATTTCCTGCTGGTCCTAACTCTAGAAGTTACTGCTTCAGTCCTTTGGGAGAGCACAGTGGCACAAACAGGCTGTGAGTGCTGTGAGATGGGTCAAAAGGCTGAACTTGGTTTATTGAAAATGTTAAAACATTTTCTAGTTGGAGTGTACTGACAGACCGGCGTGTTGTTAGTATCTTAATACTATGCCTCCGGGCACTTATGAAGTTAATCTTTTGACATTTTTATTCGCTTTTTGGCTCAACATCACGATTCATTTTTTATCTTTCAGAAGTTCCATTTATGACTGTCATTTAATTGATGGTAACTACAAATTACACTAGCTGCAAAGGAATACATAAAAGAAATGCAAGTAGTATAATTTGGAACATGGTAATCTTAGTAGCCTGAGTCATGAATTTCATCATCCGCTGCAGTTAGTAGCATTTTATGATTCATAAGTCTATTCGTTTCTTTTTTTAGTGTGTCATCAGATCACCAGCTCAACAGTAAGGTGGCAGAATTGTCTCATGCAGTCGTAGGAGAGGTTTTGATTGTTCCTACGTATACGTAGTAAATCTGTCCCTCTGACCTCTTAAATCTGCAAAACAACTTCCCGTGCTTCGCTGGAGCACCTGCTGATTAAGCCATTCAGATTATCAAATGACCACTGCCTCAACCCAAAGTTTATGCTTTGATCAAATTGTTTCTAAAGGCCTTTGTTCATTTGCTGAAGGTGACCGACCACCATAGATCAGTGCACAGACACAGGGTGATCCTGGGCTGCCATAAG